GAATCAGGGACTGAGGACATGTCAATGGCAGGTTCTGGCACATGGCTGGGCATAGTGAGAGTTGCCAGAACATTTGAGAGTGATATCATTTGTTTGTCCTCTACAGGCAAAGGCAATGTTACTTTTCCAGTGGGGCTATACTGGATATTTGCATTAAGGGCAGACAGTTTATCACTTCCTAGTAGATTAGCAGGGGCATGAGGACTGACAAGTAGCCTTGTTACAAGGGCATTAGAGTTGTGTAGCTGCAATCTCAGTTTGTGGGTAAGGGGAATGTCACTTGGGATCCCATCCACCCCTACACATGATAATACATCTTCAGACTTCTCATACAGGAGCACATATTTTTCCTGCAACATTGATTTAGCTGCCAGTGTCCAGCAGAAAAGGGACTATTTGGCCCCTGGGCAGTGTAACATTGATAATGGGTGAGGGTCCAGCTGAGTCAGGGATATTGAAAGCATGTAGGGACACTGGGCTGCCAGTTTCCTATTGGGGAGTGGTAGGTGGTGGAGGTGGTTGGTTATCATGGGAGTAGTAATTTGTGGAGCTAATGGCCCCACTGGGGTGTCTAGGGGGGCAACTAGGGGTTCACTTAAGTCTGGTGGACTAGCCTCCTCCGCTAATGAACCCATAGGTCTTACTGGGGCAGCTGGGGAACCATATGAAGTCCCAGTGCATAATATTACTGGAAAGAGAGGTTCTGATTTCTGTAAAATGGACAATATGTGAGCTGGGGTTTTAGGAGAACCACAACTTGTACACTTTAGAATTTGTCCATTTGCACCGTGGACAGATCCAATATTCTTTCTGACTAGTGGTAGTAGAACCAAGAAATGTCTGAATTTGGGAAATCGTCTGGTCTTTAGGAACCAAAGGAGTCCCTAGTTTATCCGGGTAAAGGGGTGAGTTTACAAGATTTTTCCCAGGATCTTGCCTATTCTGGGACCCTAGAGATAATATGGTATACCTTTTCTGGTGGTTTCCCTACAACCACATTTAGTTAATTCAGCTGCAGTTTAATGCCATTTTTGGGTGACTTCTACTAAGTCATTATCTTCTAACCATCCTCTGTAATTTGCCATAAATTCCCTCCCTATATGTGGGTCTAAAGTGCCCTCTGAGGGCATGCCAGTTTTCTTAAGTAACCTCTTAATATTCTTAATTGCTCCTTGTCCTTTGTAATGCTTGACTATAGAAGAAGCTGTAAATCCCCCCTGAGTGCTTTGAGAGCTACCCATCTTAAAACTTGTTAGGGCTAATTACTTCTTAACACAGGACAAACTGTACAACAACAGTGTATAAGACACTTAGGACCACTGCAGTGGAATTTTCAGTCTTGTCTTCGTTATTCTAAACTGCCCTTGGAGGATTCTAACTTGAATTATAAAACAAATGACAAGGCAAACAATAAAAATTAGTTAAAACCCACAGATATATTCCACTATCTCAAGATTCTTTTAACAAGACATAATAACATCCAGCTGAATATAACCATAATATCACAGAAAACAAGTTCTTTAGATCAGACGTTTTGAAACTCCTTACCCACCCGGACAGGGGCCTCAAAGAGCACCAGAGAGTGAATCAATTAAAGGTAGAACAATAAAAAGCTTTTTCTCATCAGCTGCAGCTGTCTGATAACTGTTTCTCGGACACAGATAGATAATCAAGTTTATGAAAAACTACCCTCTGACCCCACTTCCAATATTCATTGCATTTTATCTACTCTCTTACAGAAAGGCAAAGACTCTGGTATTTTAAGTAAACAAAAAATCAACTATCTAAATATACAAAACCCAAAAATTCCAGTCATATATTTCTTGCCTAAAATACATAAAAACATTAACAACCCTCCAGGCCGTCCGATCGTATCCGGGATTAATTCTCTTACATAATGGTTATTTTACAATGTGTATTTTTAGATCATTAAATGTTTTTTGGTAACTTTGCTGTGCCAATCCTCTTTTTTTGTACTTTTATGCACTTGTATTATTTTTACTCTTCCTGTTTTTTTAATTTGTTCCTTTACTCAAAGAAATCCGAGTTGTGGATCATATCACCAGCACTTTATCAATAGAGCAGTGTTCCTACTCTATACTTGTGAGTATTATTGTATTTATTTTTATTTATTTTTATCATAATTGAGAGCACTATTGTTGCCTTTTTTATTTTCCCTTGGAGCCTTAGATGACCAGCTGGTGCTGATATATCCCATAAGCAGGGATTATACCACTGTACGCCCTTCACACCAGAGATGGCCATAGCTTTTTTAAATGGGAGTTTTCAACCTCCTATTACTTCTTTGCACTCCAGATTTTAGATTTATTACACTATTGGCTGCCTCTTTCTCCCTTTTTCTTCCATATATACGAATACCCTGAGACATTCAAACGCACCTATCCCTACTGAAGAGTCTATTCTTCTCCAATTTATCCAATACTCCTGATGATCTTTTGTTGTTCTAGTAAGACTTTTGGGACTATTTTATGTTACTATATTGGCGCAGCCCTATACCATCTTTTTGTATGTATTCCCTATGGAATGATATCCAGACTGATATTCAGATGGATTAATACTTCTGAAGAAGCCCAAACCCGGACGAAACGCGTTAAGTAAGAGACTGGAAGCTTGCTTTTTATTCACAGATTATTATTTTTTTGTATTAATAAAGTTACAGCTTTTTCCAATCCCTCTTTCTGGTTTTCTACTTGTTCCTGGTGCTCTTTGAATCCTGCTCACTATTTACATCCCTTGGTGGGGATTATACCACCTCACGCTTTCATCACCAGAGCAGGTTATTGCTCTGGAAATCATAAGTAGGATACCTGCTTTTTAATATATAAATATTTTACTGTACTTACTGTACCATTGGATCTTATTCTGCTTTTTCCATATACACGGCTGTGGAGAATTGGACACCTTATTGGACCACTATCCTTATATCCCAAGACAGGGTTTATACCATCCAAGTGCTATACGGCAGAGCTCTCAGTAGCTCTGCAGAGTGTGAGTTAGTCTTTTAATTGGCTTTTTTTTACAGTATATCTGTGTTAATATTTACATGATATATTGCACTGTCACTGTCTTGTATTTTATTTCTCTCGAGGGCTATATACATCGCCATAACATTGGAAAACCTGTATGCATGTATATACCATAACTATATTTTATTCACTTTGAATACCTTTGTGGTGCGGTTTACCACTCTGTTTTTGCACATGTATTCCCTACAGCCTATATCTCCAGGTCCCATTGAAAACAGATCAGTGTGGCTATCCTTGTCCATAAAAGATGTCCCCTACAGATATGCCAGTCACTCCGGAATAGTGATGCACCGAACGCTTCGCTGGCGAACAGTTCCCGGCGAACATAGCGTGTTCGCGTCCGCCGCGGACGGCGAACACATGCGCGGTTCGATCCGCCCCCTATTCATCATCATTGAGTAAACTTTGACCCTGTACCTCACAGTCAGCAGACACATTCCAGCCAATTAGCAGCACACCCTCCCTAGCAGACCCTCCCACCTACTGTAAGGCATCCATTTTACATTCATTCTCAAGCTGCATGCTTAGTGAGAGGAGGGAAAGTGTAGCTACTGTTGATTAGATAGGGAAATGCATAGCTAGGTTAGGGTATACAGTGTCCACTACAGTCCTGAAGGACTCATCTGATCTCTGCTGTAAGGACAGCACCCCAAAAAGCCCTTTTTAGGGCTAGAACATCAGTCTGCTTTTTTTTTCTGTGTAATGTAATTGCAGTTAGTTGTCTGCCACTGCTGCCAGCTTCTGTGTCAGGCTCACAGTGGATGCTGTGCCCATTTGCCCAGTCAGTGCCACCACTCATATCTGGTGTCACAATAGCTTGCATTTAAAAACAAAAAACTTTTTTCACTGTTATAGATTGAATAGCAGTCAGTGTCCTTAAAGCGGGTGTGTTAAACTCACAGTGGATACGGTGCCCAGTGCCACCACTCACTGGTGTCACAATAGCTTGCATTTAAAAACAAAAAACTTTTTTCACTGTTATAGGTTGAATAGCAGTTAGTTGTCTCAAAGCGGGTGTGTCAGGCTCACAGTGGATACTGTGCCCAGTGCCACCACTCACTCACTGGTGTCACAATAGCTTGCATTTAAAAACAAAAAACTTTTTTCACTGTTATAGATTGAATAGCAGTTAGTTGTCTGCAAGCGTCTGGGTGTCAGGCCTCCTTCAGCGTGTGCTCTGCAGACCTCTGCCCGTGTACTTGGCCACTCATATCTGGTGTCTCTATAGCGTGCTTTTACAAAGAAAAAAGGTTTTCAGTGTAAGCTAATAGCAGTCAGTGTCCTTAAAGCAGGTGTCAGGCCTCCTTCAGCGTGTGCTCTGCAGACCTTTGCCCGTGTACTTTGCCACTCATATCTGGTGTCTCTATAGCATGCTTTTACAAAGAAAAAAAGTTTTTCAGTGTAAGCTAATAGCAGTCAATGTCCTTAAAGCGGGTGTCAGGCCTCCTTCAGCGTGTGCTCTGCAGACCTCTGCCCGTGTACTTTGCCACTCATATCTGGTGTCTCTATAGCGTGCTTTTACAAAGAAAAAAAGTTTTTCAGTGTAAGCTAATAGCAGTCAATGTCCTTAAAGTGGGTGTCAGGCCTCCTTCAGCGTGTGCTCTGCAGACCTCTGCCAGTGTACTTTGCCACTCATATCTGGTGTCACAATAGCGTGCATTTAAAACCAAAAAACTTTTTTCACTGTTATAGATTGAATAGCAGTTAGTTGTCTAAAAGCGGGTGTGTCAGGCTCACAGTGGATACTGTGCCAAGTGCCATCACTCACTCACTGGTGTCACAATAGCTTGCATTTAAAAACAAAAAACTTTTTTCACTGTTATAGATTGAATAGCAGTTAGTTTTCTCAAAGCGGGTGTGTCAGGCTCCCAGTGGATACTGTGCCCAGTGCCACCACTCACTCACTGGTGTCACAATAGCTTGCATTTAAAACCAAAAAACTTTTTTCACTGTTATAGATTGAATATAAAAGTGGCCTCTTTGAGAGAAATATTTCCCACAATCAGAATAAAAATAAGGTTTCTCTCCTGTATGGCTCCTCAAATGATGCTTAAGATTAGAAGCGGCTGAAAAACATTTCTCACACTCAGAACAAAAATATATTTTTTTAACATTCTCTCCACTTTGAACGAAATGACGTTTGGGAAGAGATTTTGTATGAGTAGGTTTTTCATGTACGATACGGGAACATGATTTAGATCCTTGGTAAGTTTTGCGAGATCCAATAGTGTGTATGTAGGGGGAACAGTCAATCCATTTCTGCCAAGTGACCCTATGTAGGGGGAACAGTCTCTATTCTGCTCTGTGTCAGTGTGTATCATGGTCCCTGAGGACAGGTGTCAATCCATATCTGCCAAGTGACCCTATATAGGGGAAACAGTCTCTATTCTGCTCTGTGTCAGTGTATATCATGATCTCTGAGTACAGGTGTCAATCCATATCTGCCAAGTGACCCTATGTAGGAGGAACAGTCTCTATTCTGCTCTGTGTCAGTGTGTATCATGTTCTCTGAGGACAGGTGTCAATCCATATCTGCCAAGTGACCCTATGTAGGAGGAACAGTCTCTATTCTGCTCTGTGTCAGTGTGTATCAAGGGCTCTGAGGACAGGTGTCAATCCATATCTGCCAAGTGACCCTATGTAGGGGAACAGTCTCTATTCTGCTCTGTGTCAGTGTGTATCATGATCTCTGAAGACAGGTGTCAATCCATATCTGTCAAGTGACCCTATGTAGGAGGAACAGTCTCTATTCTGCTCTGTGTCAGTGTGTATCAGGGGCTCTGAGGACAGGTGTCAATCCATATGTCAAGGTGTCAATATGTCATATGTCAGGTGGCAATCCATATCCATTGTGATTTAGGAATGTTAGGTGATTTATGCCCTTTATGGATTAAGAGCAGACTCTGCATCAACTGTAATTTTCCATGGGAGTTTTGCCATGGATCCCCCTCCGGCATGCCACAGTCCAGGTGTTAGTCCCCTTGAAACAACTTTTCCATCACTATTGTGGCCAGAAAGAGTCCCTGTGTGTTTTAAAATTTGCCTGCCCATTGAAGTCTATGGCGGTTCGCCCAGTTCGCCGGTTCACGAACATTTGCGGAAGTTCCGTTCGCGAACCGAAAATTTAGTGTTGTCGACATCACTAGTCAGGAATAAGGAGGGACTGTACATCGTATTAAAGGGTATAGTCAATAATGAAAAGGTCAGTATTCTCAATATATATATGCACCCAACACTCCATCCACACAGTTCTGGGCTCCATAAAGCCACTGATTATAGGGGGAGATTTTAATGCTGCTCCATGCTCAGTGTTCAATAGAAGTAGTGTAACCGCGGCTGGTTCTCTTATTTACCACTATAATGTCTTAAAGCATAGAACTTAGCAGGGCTAACCATATAGATATCTTAGCCATAATTTGATATAGTTAGTAAGAGATCCTCTATTTAACATATATAAATAATTGAGAATACAATATAAAATAAGGATTGTCTTGGAAGCAATAAAGTTTTTTTTCTTTTTAGATATTTATTATATAAAAATATAAATATAGACATATAAAATCCATATAGCAGAGTTTATAAGATTAAACGAAATGCTTGCAAATATCATTAATAGGTTAACATACCCTTCTAAACATGTCATCATATCAGCCTCTCTGTCATTTTAAGATGGAGCAGCGTCTGTATGCAAGTCTCTCCTCTGTGTCTTAACATTTAAAAGTACACCTATTTATACCTTTGGTGTCTCCATTTTAGGGTTACCATAGTTCATATATGAAAAAGTAACACTTATTTTACTTTATTCATTTTAGGACCTCCCTTAATTTGGCAAACATACGAGGCCATAACTAAACGGTGCATACGTCATGGAAATTTTCCTGACTTAGTTCAAGATGGCATTTTAAAGTCTGAACATTTTTATCTACTAAGGTTACCACAGTATATTACTTACTGAAAAAGTCGTAGCATAGCCTTGAAGCTTGTTTATGCAGTCGTTATTGCTTAAAGAAACAGTTATGAAAAACAATATGTTCCATTTTTAACACCTTGTCAGTTAGCAATATCTCTTAAAGACAAAGTACACAGTTTAAGAAATACAACATTTAATTCTAAAACTTGTAATATTTGCATTTGCCCATAACAGTAGAGGGCAGAGTGGTTTGCGATCCCAGGGTTTGAGGAGACAAGAAAAAACACTTTCTATTTTCATATATAAACTAGCATTGAAAGGTATATGGAGGGCTCATCACCCAGATACCATAGATTACACCTTTTTATCCAAGCCCCACAACACATACTCACACTATCACATCCTGTTACTGGCTGCTGATCATTCTGGCAATGGCTTCTGGTATCCAGTACTATTATTACAATTCTTGTTTCATTTTTCTTGGTTTTTCTGGTTTTCTATTCCATGTCTGGTTTTCTTTATGCTGGGTTTTCTGGGTTCATTCCTTTATTCCGTTCCTGGAATTCCCAGTCTCTTGGATTCCTTTAAATGTTTGTTTTATGTTGCCACACCAGTTCCTTTTCCATTAATCCTTTTGTTTTAGTTGGTTATTGCAGGCGGTTGCTACAAGTCCTCTGCCTTTTCTTGCAGGTAAGTGCTGTGGGTGTTTTATTATTGTTTATTTAGTCATGCATATTTAGGCAGTTAGTTTCCCACCTTAATTGAAGTACTTTGCCGCAGTTGGTGGGCTGCATACATCTTGGCCATTTATGTATGTTTAAATCTCCAATGTTTTACATATATAGTACTTAGTTATGTCTCCTCTTGTTTTGCCTATTGTTATCTTGTCTTGTTTTATTTTGTATTCCCAGTACATGTACAGTCCTGTCATGTCCTGCCCCTATTCTGTTAATGTTTCCCTTATGTATTGTGTACATGTTCTGGGTTTAGCTTCCTATCCTTCTCTGGTTCTGTGTTCTACTAGCTCTGTCTTGTTTTCATGTTTGGTGCCTATCCTCGCCTTGCTTTGTTTCTGTACTGGATACATTCCTGCTGCGGAGCCTCCCTATTCAGCTCCTGGGAGGTCTGCTTATTTCCAAGCTCCAAATTCCTGGGATCCGCAGAAGCTGCATCAGGGTCCTGGTATGTGACTGCAGAGCGAGCACATGTGCTCAATGTACTTACCTTCCGCCTCCCTGCACTTCCTGGTTCTGTGTGAAGTGCAGGGAGACGGATCAGTGATGATCCTGCCCCCTGTTAAAAAATAAAAAAATAAAGTTAATTTAAAATCCCACCCCCCTTTACCAATTTAATAAAAAATCAACCCCTTCCCTGCCAATTGATCACTGACTACAATGATCAATTTACAGGGATTACATTTTACTGTCATCTGATTTTTTTTTTTAACCCAGAGGCTTAATTCTTTTTTTTTAAACCCTCAGGGGTTAAATTTATTTTATTAATTAATTTAAATATTTTAGAATTATATATTTAGCTAGCTGGGGTGGGGAGAAGTTAGTGGGGAATTGGGGGATTTGGTGTTAGGCTAACTAGGGTTTAACATTAAAATTGTTTTAAAATAAGCTCTAAAAAGTTAAAAATTAAGTTTAAAAAAGTTTTAATAATGTTTAAGTAAAAAATAAAAAAACACCCCCCTTTACCCAGTCCAAATAAAAATTAACCCCTTCCCTGCCAACTGATCACTGACTACAATGATCAATTTACAGGGATTACATTTTACTGTCATCTGATTTTTTTTTAACCCAGAGGCTTAATTCTTTTTTTTAAACCCTCAGGGGTTAAATTTATTTTATTAATTAATTTAAATATTTTACAATTATATATTTTGCTAGCTGGGGTGGGTGGGAGTTATGGGAAAATGGGGAATTTACTGTTAGTGCTGCTTACTGCTAGTTAGGGGTTAACGGTAAAAAAAAAAGCTTAGAAAAATGTTCAATCTGTAAAAAGTTTTAAGAAAGTTTAGGAAAGTTTCAAAAAATTAATAAGCAAAACAAAAGTTTAAAAACTAGTTTTTAAAAGTAAAAAAAAGTTTTAAAAAGTAAAAAAAAATACATTTAAAAACGATCATTACCACTACACCTGGAACAAACTAGAGAAAAAATGATCCCACCCTAAGGTTCAAAAAATGCTTTTTGAATTACCCCAGGGTGCATTCTTTAATGAATAGTATGTGTTTGTGGGGAAGTTTTAATAACCAACAGTCTAAACTTCTCCAAATTGGAACATGGACACAGAGTAAAACTTCAAAGTTAGAAAAAAACTGAATGGCTGCGTCTCAAATGCTCCCCTTCAACATCCACATATACCTGGCAAAGGTACATAAGGTGGTATTGCTGTACTCAGACAACATAGCTGAGCAACATGTGAAGTATTATACAGTCATAGCACACATAAGGTTTGCAAAATATACTGTGCAAACTCACTTTGTGTGTCAAAGAGGCAGAAAAAAGACTTATTACCACTACACTTGGTACAAGCTAGCAGAAAAATGATCCCACGCTAAGGTTCAAAATATGCCTTTTGAAATACCCTGGGATGTGTTCTTTAAGAAATGGTATGCCGTTCTGGTGTAGTTGTATTATGTAGCCTGCTCAAGTTCTCCAAAGTGCAACGGACGCATCAAAACCCTCCATGAAAATTCACACTTAAAAACCTGAACTTGTCACGTCTCTTTTACAGCACTGTAACTTCACAAAATAGTGTCTAGGTCATACATTGAGCATATTGTTTTACTCAGAAGACTTAGCTGAGCATAATTTGGGGGCTTTGAACTTAATGGCGCATATGAAATATACAAAATGCCCTGCAAAAATGTAATCCTTACGTAAAAAATGCCCCAATTTTTTTAACCACATACTTTGGCATATATTGGTGAAAAAATGGGGGCATATTAAGGCACAATATGCACCATATGAGATACTCTGGAGTATCTACTTTTACAAATGGTAGGCCTTTGTGGGGTTTTTTTTTTGTACAGTCAAACTGCTATAATACCCCAAATGGAAGCATAGGCTCATTAAATCCGTCTCTCAAAATTCTACTGTGAATACTGAAAAGGACAGGTACAGGAATAGCACACACCAACTTTATAAAATACACATGAGAAGTTCTTTGTTATAAGCTTGTGTGTCAAAAAACAAAAAAAAACACAATTTTACTCCAATATTTAGCAGAGGTTGGCGATGAAATGGCTATGTAGAAAGTGTCAAAACAACCTTAGGTAAATAGCCTGTGATGTCTACTTTATATAAATATATATAATTTTGTGTG